GGTCCCATCACCCAACAGGGATATTTAAGATTCCTAAGCAACAATTTTCAAGAGGGGAGGACTCCAGCACCCTATCCTCCCAACTCTTCAAGACAGAAGTGGGGAAAACCAAATTTATAGCAATGAGAAAGTTATCCTCTTCCACAGATCCTGGCTGGTATTTTAATATAACTCATTTCCAAGACTATAGGAACTCCATTGTTAATAGATAATGAAGAGATATTTATTTTTGCCTAGTTGGCAGGATAAGATATATACAACCATGAAAAGATAACTAAGGCTAACTAAAAGATAACTAACGAAAAAGACAAAAATGAATGGTTTTGACAGTAGTTGCTTAGGAATTCAAGAAGGAGAGGTCACTTTCAATTGAAACGAAAAAGCCTTTACACAGGAGGTGGGTTTTGAGAAGGGCCAGGTTTGGACAGCTGAAGAGCATTTTGAATGGTAAAGTTACTGGAAAAAATGAATCTGCTTGGGACAGAGGTGTAAACGTAGGGAAACAGTATAGCATAAGAAAGTAAGTTTGGGCCAGAGTATGGAGGTTCCTCATAAAATCACTGATTTAGAGCTGGAAGAGATGTTAGAGGTGATTTAGTCTAACCCAAACACTTTATGGGGGAGGAAATAGAGGCACAGAAGGATTAAGTTACTAGCTCCAGGACATACAGGGAGTAAATGGCAGAAACAGGAGGCAAACTCTGGTTCTCTGACTGTAAATTTAGTACCCTTTCCACTCTACAAAGTTTCCTCCTCAAATGTTAGGTTAAGGAGTTTGGATTATGGATCCACTGAAAATGTTCAAGCAGGGGAATGGCATAATCAAGGCCAGGTTGTACTTATACAATAGTAAATAGCAATGCTATGGGGAGAGCAGGAGAGAGTTTAGAAGAGGGATGAGGACTGAAACAGAAAGGAGTGTGAGCACAGGTAGGAGTCCCAAAATAATGGTCAATTCTTAGAGGAGAGGGAGAGTTTCCGATAATGATGGGTAAATAGGAAGTCTGCCTTAATTACTCTAAAGATCCAGTTCTACATCTGGACAAAAATTGCTTCTGGGGGAGAGACCTGTTTGGCCCTCTTGTCTGTCTATACAACTGACCCTCTTCAGCTGTCTATACACAGCTGAAGTGTTACACACCAGCAAAGATTAGGAACATTTAAGAAACTGACAACTTCCCCTATTTTTATTTATTTATTTTTACCCAGGAGTAATTTGAATGACTTGTTGGTTAGAGTAAAGAGAAAGGATATGTTTGGAAATCAATGTGAAAAAAAGCATTAATTAAAATGAGAGTAATCAATATGGGAATCTGTTGCTTGAGGCCCAGACTCATTCTGTGCTTACTAAAGGCATTCTTTATAAGGACTTTTCAACTGGGGTAACAATTTCATCTGCTGGGGTCACCTCAAATCTGAAATGACAGGGACAGAAATGGGGAGCAGGATAATTAAGTAACTAATAATTCACATAAGTCACACTGATACAAGTGTTTTAAAGTTTAAACACACTGATTTAATATACTTTCCTCATAACATCTCCATAGATGATGATGATGATGATAATTCTCCTTGTTCTGTTCACTTCACTTTGCATCAGTTCCTACAAATTTTCCAGATTTTTCTGAACCCATCCCTTTGGTCATTTCTTACATTACATATTCTCTTACATTCATATAATACCCAACATTTATATGGCATTTAAAGGTTTGCTAAGCACTTAACAATTATCATCTCATTTTAGCCTTACAATAAATAACCCTGGCAGGTAGATGCTATTAAACCCATTTTACAGATGAAGAAACCAAGGCTGATAGGTTAAGTGACTTGCCCAGGGTCACGTAGCTAATGAATGTCTGAAGCTGGATTCCAATTCAGGTCTTCTTGACTCCAGGTCAGCACACCATCCACCATCCCACCTAGTTACCTACACTTTGTTTATATATAGAGTTATATACACACATACATGTATATATACACTCCCTCATTTGGTCCCACAACAACCCTCTGAGATAATGCTATTATTATCTCCATCTTACAGATGAGGAAACTGAGGCACTGAGTTGAAAATTATTTGCCAAAGATCACACAGCTAGGAAGGGTCTGAGGCAGAATTCGAACCTCCAAATCCAGATTCTCCATTCTGTCCACTATCCTTGTTCCCAAGGTAGTCATCAAGGCAAGTCCAGGACTCCAAATCACATTCCTCCTTCTCGGTGGGAGAAAATGCACTGGATTTGGAGTGAGGTCTCATCTCTAGCTCACCTTAGGGTAACTCATTCAACGTCAGTAAGATGGAAGGGGTTGGACCAGGTCATCTTTGAAGTCTCTGCAGGGGCCCGTCCACAATGGCTATGAATCCTTTACCTGAATCTGGATGAAGTCAGCCAAGTCGAGTCAATAAGCATTTATTAAACTAAAATCTCATCCTCGACAGGAAGTCTTTCTTAAACCGCTCCCCCCACCCCAGCCTTTAATGCTAGCTACCTTCCCTCCACTGATTATCTTCAATTTATCTTGGTAGTACAGAGTTGTTGGCAAGCTGTTTTCCCCCATTAAACTGTGAGCTCCTGCAGGGCAGGGGCTGTCTCTGGCCTTTCTTTATATTCCCAGGACTTAGCACAATTCGTGGCACATAGTAGGCGCTTACTGAGCTATGAGATTTTTGCCCCTGCCCCAAGACCCGATCTGGCACATAGCAAGCACTTTAACAGCTCTTGGGACATTAGAAAACAGGCTCTGGCTTTCTGGTGTTCATCTTTGCTCCTCCAAACCTTTTCCCACCAAAGCCAAGAGTGAATTCGTCTGTCCTCTTCCCTCACCCCTCCCCTCTCCTCCATGATTTCTCCTCCAACCCTCAGCAGAGAAACACTAGCAGGAAACAGATCACAGCGCCAGCAGGACCGACCACAGTCTATTGCGCAAGAGCGAATCTCCCCCTTCCTTCTGTAGAGCGCCAGCTGGGGATCAACCACGCGCCGCCACGCATGCGCGAGCCTCCCCCCCCCTGCATCCGGCCAAGTAGAGAAATAGTAGGAAAGCCGTAGTTTAGGGTGAGAGTTCCCCCCGCACTCCGAGTCGCAGGAAGGGCATCGAGAAGACTCGGGTCCGAGCCCACTTCTATCGAGTGCCCGCCGCCTCCGGCGCACGCACTCACCACTTCGCCTCGGGTCCTCCAGCTGCCGAAGAGAAGCCGCCTCCCGGAGCCCGCTGGGCCGGCGCTCTTTCCCGCCACTGGACTAGGTGGAACCATCCATTCACTGGAGGAGGGGGGGGGCGGGGCCAGACTAGTCTATCGAGGCGGAAGAGTGGTACGATCCTTGCTCTGTGTCTCGCGGCTGGTGGTGGCTGCCCGTGTGTGCGGGCTGAAACTGACTCCTGAAACTGACACTCAGCCCTCAGGGGACTCCCTACGTAGACTGAAGTTTTCCAGAACTTATTTACCCTTGATTTTTTTTTTGGGGGGAGGAGGTTTGGGGGATGGGGTGGTGGGTTGGGGAGGATGGAGTCATTGTTTTAAATGGGGGCTGGTTGTGGTCCTGGATACAGGTTCTAACTAGGACCCTTGGGACTCAGTTTCCTCAAGTTGTAAAATGAGAGATTATATGAGCTGTCGCTAGGTGGAGTAGCGGATGGAGACCTGGACTTGTGGTCTGGAAGACCTGAGTGCGAATCCCTCCTAGAGAGGTTACATAATATATGTGACCCTCAGCCAGTCACTTAACTTTTAGGCTTCTTATACATTACTCTGTCATCATCTCCCTCCTTACCTCCCATCCCCCAAGTCTGCGATCCAGTGACACTGGTCTCTTTGCTGTTAAGAAATTTCCTTTCCCGACTCAGCAAATTTTCACTGGCTGTCCCCCATGCATGGAATTCTCTCTCCATTCTCATCATGGCCTCCTGACTTCCCTGGCTTCCTTCAAGTTCCAGCTAAAATCCTGCCTTCTACAAGAAGTCTTTCCCCATCTCTTTTAATTCTAGTGTTTTCCCTCTACTAATTATGTCCATTTTTTCTTGCGTATATCTTGTTTGTGCATTTTTTCTCCTTGAGAGGAGAGACTGTCTTTTTTACCTTTCTTTGCATTCCCATTGCTCAGCACAGTTCCTGGAATGTAATAGTTGCTTAATAAATGTTTATTGACTGACTCACCCCAGGACCCTGGGCAAGACACTTAACCTCTCTGGTGTGGAAAAAAAAAACCCTAGGCTCTGTTCCTTATTTTCCTAATCTGTAAAATGAGTTTGGAGTCTGTAATCTCAGATCTAAATCTATGCATGTGGCTGTGACAAGGCTCACAAAAGAAGGGATCAATAATATATTTTTAATGGACCTATCTCCGTTGAGTTTATTTTGCAAAATAAAGAATAAGGTGGAAGAAGACTTTTTTTTTGTTTGGCTTGAATTCTTCACTCTTAGGAAGTAGTTTTCATGTATTGGTAAGAACCCTGAATTTGAAGAGAGAAGAGTTTTGGGTTCTAGCTTAGCCACTTGCTAGCTCAATGATCTTAGGTAATTTCACCTCTCTGAGACTCACTTTCTTCATCTGTAAAATGGGAATTATGACTCCAGGATTGTTGTGAAGATTTGTTGAAATAAATTTCGTTGTCTTAGGGTACTGTATAAATGTCAGCCATAATTAAGACATTTGAGTAAATGGGATGAGAGGTTGGTGTTTAGAGTCAGGAGGCAAAAAAAGATAAGATTTATTGAAAGAACAGAGGGAAAGAAAATAGGAAAGAGTTATAGAAGTGAAAGCGGAAAACCAAAAAGAGAGAAAGGTGCCATTTGAAGGATGATTTGATGTAACTCAGATCACAGGGGCTCCTCTAACTTGGGTAAGCTGAACCCATAGAACAGTTCCTCCTCCTGCTCTCATTCCACTGACTGTCCCCTCTCTTGACCAGGATCTAGGCTTTCTGCGTTAGGATATAGATGCCATTGTCATAGGATGGGGAAGGGGGGTGTTGGAAATGTTGAAGTTCCTATGATCAAAGTGGAGAGCTAGCCCTGGGATCCACCCACCCCTGTCCCAGAATGAAAACGCAACCCAGCCATTTTGTGTAGAGGGGTTTATGCTGCTTTACAAAATAGCCCAAACCTGAGGAGTATGCCCTCATCCCAAGCAGCCAGTCTACCCACCAGGCAAGTAGCTCTGAGTTGGGGAGAATTCATTGTCTTCACCTATCATGTCTCTCTAGCTCTACATGGTCCAGCTACAACTTGGTCTGAAGCTTCTGTTCCATCCTCTACTTGGAATCCCTCTCATCGACAAAGTCTTGGCCTCACCCCCTTAGAGATGCTGAGCTTCTCCACCCCAAAATTCTGGTCCTTTGCCTCTCTGAAGTTGTCTCTCACCTTTGGGAGCAGCCCCCACCACCCCTGCAGTTGGAAATCAAGGGCCATGCACAGCTGGCAGTACAATGAAGAGGGGAAATTTAGGGTGCTAGGTCTGCCCTTACCCTTTGCACACCCGAGTGGGTTGTGGGGTTAGGCAAGAGAAGCATAGGGTGACACACAAACCCCTTTTCCTTCCCCCAACTTTCATGCCCCTAAACACAAGCAGATACATGGCCACACACATCCACATACATATGCATAAGCATGTAACCATGGCATGGTGGGGGGTGGTATCTGCACTAACCAGATCTCACACAGCAAAAAAACAAACACCTTGCCCCCACAAATAAATAAAAAAATAAAGAGGTACATGCCCCCCATTCCCCTGGGGACTGGCTTTCCCCCTGCCACCAAAACAAAACAGCCTTTGTCCACCTCAGTCCTATTGAGGCCCCTATAGGGCTTGGGTCTTTAGCTCAACAGGCTCCCCAGTGATCTCTGGTTGCCCGTCAGAGTCATTGGGCCTGATACCCTTGAGGATAGTTAGTCTCTCTGAGACACTCTTGATCCGGGGAAAGAGGAGGAAGTCATAGAGGAGGCCACCTAGGGTTGCCCCGATGATCGGGCCTACCCAGTACACCTGTAAGTAGAGGAAAGGAGGTTTGAGCTGGGAAAGGGGAGAACAGTGCAGAAGAGAAGTCATTCTCTCAGTTCAACCCCCAACCCAACAGACATTCTGGAATGTAGGCAGTCTGGGATTAGGGTGTAGAACTGGACATGACCTAAGTGGAACCACTTTTTTTTTTCCTAGACAGAACTACTCCTTTGTCCTTCAAAACCCAGCTCAAGATGCTTCAGCAGCATCACCCCCTCAAATTGTCCCATTCTCTCTGGGAAGAGAAGAGGATAATATGAGCAAGGTAATAGTTGTACCCAGTATCTCACTTCATATTCAAGAGACTGTGATTGGTGGGGGGTGGGGGGGAAGGATAGAGGTCGCTATATTCACTTATAGAGAAACTGAGGCCAGGGAGGCCCTATTTCCTTTCCTGATGACTTTCCCATTTTTGTTAATTCTTTAAGACACATCACCTCAGCAGCTATGTATGTTTGTAAATTCATATTTTCATGTTATTTTTTAAAAATTTGTTTTTTTCAGGTTTATGTGTGCTATATTCCCAACAAGACCATTAATTCCTTGAAGATAAAGGAACATTTTCTTCATCTTTAGTCTGTCTCTGTCATAGTTTCTCAGTACACAGTGGGCCACATAGTGTTCTGAGAGGCAGCTTGAGTGAAAAGAGTGATGAATTTATGGTCAGACCCTATATTCATTCCCTTGACTTCATCACTTAATACTTATGTAACTGCATGTGTGTCCTCTCTTGCATTGGAAAACCTTGTTTTGAGATCAAGATTAGATTTGTACTATTTGCAAATGGACAATCTCTCTCAGAGGCCCACTCGGGTGAAGCCACTGGTGGGCAGCTAAGAGTGCCTGATGGAAAGTGGTAACTAAACTCTGGATCCCTGGGTCCCACCCACCTCTGTGTCCTTCCCTTGTCTGTCCCTCTCCCTTACCCAGTGGTTGCTGAAGTTCCTGGTGAGGATAGCAGGAGCAAAGGATCGAGCAGGGTTCATGCCTGCACCTGTATAATACATCTGCAAGAGACACGGCTGTAATAGGAATCTCCACAGTCTTCCCCCCTCCCCACACCCACCCCTCCACCATCTCCCCAGTCTGCGATGACCCGGTTTCCCTGTAGTTGGCAAAGCAAGGGTGAAGTATGTGGGCAAGGCAGCTGTTCTGAGGGAATTGATCTGGATGGGGTGCAGGTCATTGGAGCCAAACCTGGTGACTTGTGACCTGAAAGCAAGCATACCTCCACTGCCCCTGTTTAATGGACCTCTACTTTAGATGTAAGATGAGGTAGCTGTGTATACACCTGTTCCCTCCCCTCCCTATTGCCCCCTTCCCCAGGGGAAAAAAAATCAATATTTGGACTCTAGGAGATTTCAGAATTCAGAAAGTTCTTCTGGGGACTGGGAAAGGTTTCAGGGCCCTGGCATTCCTTGAGCATGGGGTTTCCCTTACCCCACACCCACAGCTTACCCCAAACAGGTGCCCCAGGGTGAGAGAGACACCAATAGCTAATGCCACAGAACCCAAGCGTCCATTCCTTCTCTCATCAAACGTGGCAAAGATGCAGAGCACAAACTGAAGGGTCAAGAAGATCTCCACGATAGTGGCCTGACCCACGCTTACCCCAGGGTGGAGCTGGCCAGGGAGAAGAGAGGAGATCGGCTGTGAAGGGCTCGGCAGCGCTGCCCCATCCCCCGCCCCACCCCCTCCTTCGAAAGAACATTCATAATCGTTTGCATCCTCCCAGGGGAAGATGGAGGCTATGAACCACTCGGATGCTAGTATTCATTATTTTATTTTATCTTCAACAATACTCCAGAGAGGATGTTTCAGAATAATTCTGCCCATTTATAACTGAAGTCCAGAGATGTTAAATTCTCCAAAGCTACACAAGCTAGGAGTAACACTGACCCCAAATGTCTTGACTTTCAGTCCAGGGTTCCTATATCCTCTGCCCTAGCTGCTGGTGAAGAAACATTCCCTTTTCTATCCGCACCCCCTTCCAGACTTCCCCACTATGATAATCCTCTCCCCTATGCAACCCCAGCCCCCTCCCCCAGCCAACAACGAGGAATGTAGCTCTAGGTTCCCCTCCAGCTCTTTGTGGCCATTACCGTGTTGAGCGCCAGGTTCCCACGGACAGCTGCGGGGGTAACACTATACAGCACCGCAGCCCCAGCAACAGCCCCCAGCAACTGGGCTACAATGTAGCAGAGGGCGCGGAGCAGGGACATCTGGGAGCCCACGAGGAAAGCGAAGGTGACAGCGGGGTTGACATGGGCTCCGCTGACATGGCCTACTGCCTGCACCAACGTGGCCAGGGCTAGTCCAAAGGCCACAGCCACCTGCAGGACGTGTACAGGGCCGGGCGCCCATCGTAGCGAGGCCCCCAGCCCAAAGAAGACATAAAAAAGGGTGGCAAAAAACTCAGCAAAAATGGCCCTCCAGAAGGAGGCTGAGCGAAGTTCCCACATTGCAAGGGGGGAGTGGGGGGAACAGGGGAGATGGACACAGTTCCTGGGTCCCTGCTACCCCCCTGGCCTGGCCCCACTGGACAGCTTCCTTTATAGAAGAGCTCTTAATCCACGGGGAGGGGCAGACAAAAGGTTGCTGGCCCAGCCTCTTAACCCCATCACTGCTGAGAACAGATGGGCCCACTGTCCACACCTTATAAAGCTGCTTCCCTCCCTTCCCCCTCCCCCCTCCCTTCTCCCAGTTGAGAGATGAGCAGAATCAACAGAGAAGGGTTGGGAACTGGGGAGAGATTCTGGGAAGGGGAGGGAAGAACGGAACTTAGTGTCTTGAATTGGAGGTCCAGGGTCCTGAATTGATGCCATAGATAGAGGAACACTGCTAAATTCTGCTTGTGATATGAAAGTCGGGCTCAGGGAAAGTCTTTGGGGTCAAAGACAGTGTTCTTGGGGGCCTCAGGGCTACTCTGAGTCAGCCAGCTTCAGTTTTTGGGGGTGGGAATTGGGGGATGGCAGGGAGGGTGTGTAAAGGAGTGAATTGCCCCATCCAGGAGGATTAGAGGATCCACTGTCATTGGCTGGCCAGGGTTGGAATCTGTGAACCCTGCAGGCCTGGGACAGAATGATTTTTGCTGTGTCTGGTCTTTCTCTGAGCCCCGGTCTCCCTCTGCCCCCTCCATTCCAAGCCCCTGCCTGGCCTCTAGCACCATGGGGTGCTTTTCAGGGGGAGGAAGCAGAGCCAGGGTAGGGTTCTTCATGGAGGTGCTAGAGGTGAGATGTTGGTAATTTTACCTTAAAATCAACACACACTTTTCTCTATCCTAATTCAAGACTTCAATAACACTAAGTGGAGGAGAGAGGGAAACTGAGTCTCAGCACTGTAGAAGGATCTAGAAGTCACCTAGAAAGACGCCAAATTCTGAACACCAGATCCAGACAGTACCATACTACCTGCATCCAGGGAAGGGCTTTGGGGGTGGTTTGGGGGAGGAGGTTGGTCAAGGGGAGAGAGATGGGATAGGGAGAGACTGGGGGGAAGGGGGTTCAGTTGTGCTCAGGCTTGGGGTGGGACTGAGGGCGTGGTGGTAGATGCTGTGTGGCAGTGGAGATAGAAGAGTGGGACATGTTGGCAGCCTCCACCATTTCCACATCACGACAGGTTCCACAGACGACAAGCTTTTTCTGAGAAGCTCCTGATGAGAAGAGAAACTCAATGGAGAGGCCTGCAAGAATGGCACCTAGGGTAGGACCCATCCAGTACACCTGCCAGGAGGAGAGACGGAATGGGGGTCAGGACCTGCTTGGGATTTACACAATCATGTGGACTTGTGAGCTCTTTGAGGGTGGAGATGGCTTTGACCTTTCCTTGCATCCCCCACGCTTGGTTCAGTGCCTGGTACAAGTAGGCATCCTTCGTGACTTGACATAGGGAGGTTAGGACAAATCTAACCTAATCCACTGTGGGAAAAGGTGGGGGGGGAGTCAAGAATGATCCAGGAATGATACACAAGGGTTCCAAGATAAGTCAATACATTCCAGCTGGAAGGGGAATAGGGAATTCTCCGAGAAAGAGTTCATTAGAGATCACAGAATCATTCTATGAGATGAAAAGGATTATTTAGAAAATGGAAAAAAGTGTGAGCTTAGGCATCAGAAAAGGAAGGAGAGGGAGAGAATAAACTTAGAGGAACTACTATGTGTTGGGCACTTTACAAGCGCTTTACAAATATTTGATCCTTACAACAACTTTGTGAGGTAGGTGCTATTATTATCCCCATTTTACAGTTGAGGAAACTGAGGAACACAGAGATTAAATGATTTGCCTGAGGTCACACAGCTAGTAAATGTCTGGGGCAACATTTGACCTCAGGTGTTCCCGACTATCCAATGCTCTATCCACTGTATTACTACCTTAAACAAGTGACTTGACTTATCAAGGCCTCATCTGGAAAATGGGGGAAATGGGGGAAATGGATGAGATGACATCGAAAGTCCCTGCCAGCTCTAAGTCTATGATTCTATGGTCCTGCATGAGGCAAAGTGACCTTGGGAAGGTCACACAACTCCTTGGGACCTCTCCAAGGGACAGGAACCCCAAGCCTAATTTTGTGCTCCACTGCTCAGCTTCAAGCACACATCCTCTTAGGTCTCACCCAATGATGGTCCCAGATCCCAGTCACCACAGCAGGCCCCAGGGACCTGGCCGGATTCATACTGCCTCCAGAGAAAGTTCCCTGCACAAAACAAGTAACAGGAAGAGATAAGTCTCTGCTCCAAAGCCCATCCTAATTATGTCCTACCATGACAGAGTCCTTCTGGCCTCAGAGTAGAATGGGTAGACTTGTACTTTGGGTGTCATCAGCCCCTCCCTTTTTATTCCCTGTTGAGCATTAGAAAGAATCCTAGAGTTTGATCACTGAACCCTAAAGCCACTGCTTCTCACATCAGCCTCTCTGCTCAGACAAATGCTATCCTTTTCAAAAGGCATTAGATAACAACCAAGCTTGGCCTTAGAAAGAAATGGGAAAAAAAAAAGAACAAACAAACAAAAAAACCCTTCCCTCTCCTTTTTGTTGAGGTGGAGAACCAGGTGTGTGTAATATTGCATATACTATCAGACATGGTTAATATGTTGGCTGGTTTTACTGAAATGCTTTTTTCCCCCTTTTAAGTCTGTTACAAGGGATGGCTTACTGGAGAGGTAGGGTGGAATGAAGGTGATATAGATAATAAAACAATAGATCAAATAAAAATGAGATCTAAAAAACATCATCAGAACTGCAGACTCAAAAGCTCACACAGGTGTTCATTTGAAATTATTGCATACATTTGCATACATTTGCATTTTTATTATTTTCAAGGTTAACTCAGTTTATTAAGAACAAAACCAACTTTCGTACTGAGTTGTGGTCGGACTCCTTTAAAGGTCCTAAAGGTAGGAGGGAGCAGGAATGAGGGGATCCTCTTACCGCAGCCAGTGTCCCCGCAGTCACTGAAAAGCCCATAGCCAGACTGCCCAGCCCACCTGTGTCTCTCTGTTGCTGCTGGTTGGTAACGGCAAATACAGTGAGAATGAGCTGGAAGGTGGAGAAAAATTCCATACCTAGGGCTTGGCCTGCATGACTTCCACTGCTTACCTGGAGGAGACCAAGAATGCTCAGGGTTAGGAGACTGGGACATTGTGTGTGTGTGTGTGTGTGTGTGTGTGTGTGTGTGTGTGTGTGTTGGGGGGGTTCCCAGATCTTGTGCTTTAAGGAGCTCTGGGCAGAGGACCGGAAGTTAATGGGTCAAAGATGTTGATTCCATAAATGATTTATTTAGATAAATATTTATTTACACATTAACATGCTGTTTAACAATGAAAAAAGGGATCTTTTTTAATTTTTTTTCTCTCCTTTTCCCTACCCGGGTTTGTTAGGTGCTGCCCATCCCTTCTCCCTTGCTTGTTACTAGCTAATGGAGACTGCTACTCACCCTGGTTACAAGCTGAACTACAGCAGTCTGGGGCAGTGCCAGGTAGAAAATGGAAGAGGCCAGAATGGCACCTGTGCTTTGTGCCAGGATAAAGGCAGCTCCCCTGAGCAGATCAAGTCGTCCAGCACAAAGCAGCGCCAAGGTCAGAGCTGGGTTGGTTTGGGCTCCACTGACCTCCCCTAAAACCTGCACCAAGGCCACTACTACCAACCCGCCTGCAAGGGCTGGCTGTAGGGGATCTGGGGTTATGCCTGGAACAGAGCCCCTGCTAGGGCAAGAGGCCCCAAGTACCACCCCTACAAAGATCAGGGTGCCCAGGCCCTCAGCCAACACTGCCTTCCAGAACTGCCAGCTCCTCAGGTCCTGGGAAAGAGAAGGTTAGAAGCTCAGTATACAGCTGGTGCCTTATAGTGGATGGCCAGAGAAAGTAATATCACCATGCTGGACCCAGACTTAGAAATGGAGAAGACTAGATGTTTGGGCTCTCTAAAGCCAGCTTTTATTGTTTGGCAGTCTAGTGAACTCTATGGACCCCTACCCAGAATAATGTTTTTAAATATATAAAATAAAATACACAGCATTACAAAGGAGACCAACTATATTAAAAGAGTTATCAAAATATTAAAACAACAAGTTTATAGACCCCAGGTTAAGAACCTTTGCTCTATGAGAAGGATAGAATTATTGGGAAAAGGCTGGAAGTCATATCTCTCTCCCTTCACATTGATCTCACTCCCCCAACACACTCATCTTACCTCCCAGATTACCATTCTGCCCTTTTGGTATGGGGTCTCTACTGATTTCTCCTTTTCAGATCAAAGTATCTTCTTTTAGGTCTAGATGGACTAGAGATCAGTGGATTGGTGAAGTTGGAAGCGAAGCAGTTCAGATACCACAGAGGAATAGACAAGTCTGAGCTCTGCATCTCCTCTGACACTAATTTATCCTCCTTCCTTCAGCCAATGGAAAGCAATCTCATTCTCCCCCTTCAGTACCACCTCCTAGCCCCCTCTGCTTGCTCCTGGATTGAATTTTCTTACTCCTCGAGGAAACCATTGCTACTTTCTCCACAAATCTTCGCCTTTCCCCCATCCATCTTTGCCCTCCCAGCCCCAGACTCTCCTGGGTGAATTTGAGCTAGGGTCTCTAGGAGAGAATTAGAAAAGGAACTCTACCTAACCCTCTCTATCCCTTTTTTGAGGCTGATTATTTGGCGATTCAATTCAATGAACCTTTTTATTAAGTGCAACAAACTTTTATTATGAGCAAGATTTCAGGCTTCTAGTAACTTAGAGACTTTGGAGATGGGGACAAAGTCATCCCCTCACTCCTCAATCTCCTTTCTGGGTTTGCATTTCAGGACAACAGATCTCAGCCCAAACAGCGGAAAAAAAGAACTCATATTTCCAATAGCCTACAATCTAAGGCCCTGGAAAGGAACATGGAGACTATAGTCCTTGGAGGGCCATCCATTCTCTCTAATTGAACAACCTGGACCTGGGTGGGTCCCAGAGCCACACTGGCAACTGAACTAGCCACCTGAATTTAAAAGTAAGAATTTTAAAAAGCAATAGAGGTCATAAGTATATGGTGGCCTACAAAGGTTGCCAAAGTAATTTCTTTTCCATCACATAAAAGACTGAAAAAACACTGCAGAAGCAGAGAGTAGATGAGTAGCGTATCTGTTTGTGTGAACCCCCCAATGCCCAACTGTATACGCAAAGTACTCCAAAGTTTCCAAAGAACTTTATGTTTATCATCTTATTTGATTAGGTAGGTTGTACAGGTATTATCATCCTTTTTTTTGTTTTGTTTTGTTGTATGACTTGCCCAGGATCACATATATAGTCAGTGTCTGAGGCTGGACTCCTCCTGACTTCAGGGCAGGTGCTCTATCCACTGTGCCACCTAGCTGCCCCATCATCCTTTTTTTTTTATAATTAAGAATACTGAGGTTCAGGAAGATGAAGGTGATTGTATTACGTGGAAGAGGCAAGATCTGAACACAGATCTTTTGATTCCATGGTCCAATTATCCCCCCTAGCAGACTTTAAAGGAGGCAGAGCAAACATGAACTGAATACTGTCATGGCAAGTGTGCTAGAGTTGGAGTCAAAAGACCGGAGTTTGAATTCTGTTTTTATCACTTCAGAGATGGACAACCTTGGGCCTCTCTGGCTATTGGTTTCCTCATCTCTAAGATAAGAGGATTAAACAAAATGCTTTCTAAAAACCCTTTAAAAATCTCTAGTAGCTCATTCATTTATGTTTTAGGAGTTGGTATGGCGGTGTAAGTGTATGAGAGTAAATGTGTAAGTTGGTCAGACTGTATTCTCCAAGCTGGTAAGGAAAATTTCCATTAGGTTGCTTGATAAAGGGGTTCAGGATATCCACCAAAGTACAGGTTATCCCACTTTATGCAAATGACCCCACTGGCTTCAAAAGGTAGGATGGTCTACCTGAGGCTGCTGCCTCCTTAAGGCCCAGTTTACAGCAAGGAGGACAATTTACATCTTTCTGAGAAGCTAAAGATGGGAATGATAAGAGCCAGTGGGATATTGCTCTTGAGTGCAGGGACACTCTGCCCATGCCAGGTTCCCTCCCCTGCCATCTACAATTAGCTCTGGGCCCATGGGATGCCTACTCAGCATAGCAACATAACCCCATTGTGTGAATGGCTTTAGTGGGACAAAGGCCCCAATTTAGTATCTGTCCAACCAGGATCAACCCCGGCCTTCCTAGTAACTCTGGGTCACCTCCTTTCTCTTTTCCCTTTCTCTGATGATGCTTTGCTGACTCCTGGCAAAGTCCAGAACAATCTCCAGGCTACATGTGAGAGAACAGCTCGGCCATGTAAGGGAACAACGTTTACAGATGTTCCCCAGCTTTTTGCTATCCTGAGTTTTTATATCTCCAGTATCTCCCAGTGCCCCAGGTTTGTTTGGGGAGGTTTGAGTGTTGTTTCTCTCTCCCTAGAGTATTCCTTCACAGTACACCCTCACTTTTAACTCCCCACAGCTTAGGGTCGTATTTGCTGTACTCCCAGCACCAAATGTTTAAATGCTTTGCTTGTATGCAGAGAACTATGCTGGGCACTGTGGGGAAATTCCACCTGCCCTTTAGGAGCTCATGTTGTAGTAGGGGGATATTCTGGACCAGACCTTACTCAGGCTGGTCCTGTGTTTTAGACTCAAGATTACAAGGAATATTAAGCAAGGGCACAGTATTGGTACAAATAAATACGATGATCTACATTTGCCACAAGTGACATGCTCAGTCAGAAGGGTATACTGGATATGTTGACTTGCACGGTAATAGAAAGTCTGTCAAGTCAGAAGAGTGTCTAGCTCCTTGTGTGCTAGACTTTCAGATATAGGCAGCCAGGAAGCTACACCAAGAGTTCAAACCTTAGTTCCCAGAATCAGTTAAGTGTCAGAGATAGTTTCATTGGCTCCTTAGGGGAAAACTAGCCTAGCCTTGTAGAATAGATGTTGCTCCTATCACATCCCACCCCTTGGTGGCAAGAGGTTAAAATTCTTCTAGGGAATTTTCCATCACATAAATGGCCATAAGATCATTACTAATCAACCCTGATCTGGTGGATGTGAGAAGCCTGACATAGGCAGCATTGGCAGAGGAGCTTAGTGTAGGTAAAAGAATAATAAAACCAGAAAGATAGCAAAAAAGACAATAAGCAATGTAATGACCTCCTGATGGAGCACAGTACCGAACTGACCAAATATGGAAGAGAACAAAGACCAGAAATCTTAGGCTTTGCTTCCCTGTTTTAGGATCTGAGTCTCAGATCTTAAAAACCTGTTGTATGTGGTCAATGATGTCAGGGGGTGATTTACAGTGGTAAGTTAGTGAAATTAGTAATAACAGCACCAGGAATATCTAATGCTTGGGGCTACCAATAACAAGAATACATTTTTTGGCCTGTTTCAAGAATGATAAAAGTTTGCCAGAGTCATAGTATAATTGATGACACTTTTGGCATAGTCACCGGTCCTCATCACAGGCCAGGGTCTTCTGTAGTAAGGCAGCTAGGAGATTATTAGCTTCTTGCATCATTACCTTCTGTCCCAGGGCAAAGGTTGAATACTAACACTCATCCTTCTACTCAGGTAGATGTTCCCCAGCCCACCAGCCAAAAGAGAATGCAATGACAGGGAAGCACAGGAGGGTGGAAGAATAATAATAATGATAATAACAACAACAGTAAGATTGTTGGGCTTGGGGCAACTGGCTGATGCAGTAGATAAAGTGCCAGTCCTGGAGTCAGGAAGACTCATATTCCTGAGTTCAAATCTGGGCTCAGACACTTACTAGCTATGGGCCCTTAGCCAAGTCATTTAACCCTGTTTTCCTCAGTTTCTTTATCTGTAAAATGATCTGGAGAAGGAAATGGCAAACCACTTTACCAAGAGAACCCCAAATGGAGTCATGAAGCATTGGAGATAACTGAAAACATAACGGAACAATAACAAACTAGCATTTGTGTTGTGCTTTAAGGTTTACAAAGAACTTTACAAATATCATCTCATTTTATTCTCATGCCAAGCTTGGGAGGTAGGTGCTAGTATTATCCCCATTTTGTGGATAAGGAAACTGAGGCTGTTTGTGACACAAGTGGTTAAGTGACTTGTCCCGTAGTCTCAGAAATGTCTGAGGCTGGATTTGAACTCAATGCACCCATTGAACTCAAAATTAAGCAGAAACTGATTTGCTCCTCCTGTCATTAGAAAGGAAGGCACCAGTATCGACAGGACAGCTTTGAAAGCTATAAGTTGAACTTATTATAGACTTTAAAATATGTGTAAACTAACTCTACATAACAGACCTGCAGTTTCATATATAATCTTTTTCTGTTTTATTCTATATATGGAAATTCCTGTTTGAGTGGGTGTTTGTTAACTTCAGAATAAAAACAAATGTAAAAAAGAAAAAGAAAGCATCACGCTTCTAAACAATTCTCTGCCTTGGTCCTCCAAGCCCTTTCTGAGTTTTCAAAAACATCCTGGGAAAAGAGGAGCTATCACTTGAGGCGGACCTGACCAGTTTCTCTGGGCTCTATGGATCCCTCTGAGGGGGCAGGGACCTCAAGACTCAGGTAACTCCACTCAGGAGACAGAATAAGGAAGGATTGGGAAAAGTCAACTGGAATTCTGTCTGAAAGGCATCTGTTAGAATTCAGGTTAAAATGGAGGTGTGAAAGGTTGCAGAGAGGCGCAGCTCTTCCAAATGTATTCCAGAAGAGATCTAAAAAGGGTACCAGACTGAATAATCAAGAAATCCAAACAGGAACATCCGGATACTCCTTCACCCAGCCCAGGACTACACGAAAAGACAGCCAGAAGCACTGGCACTGGAAGAGAGGTCTTACCAGAAAAGCCAGCAGGAGCTGTGGTAAACCAACCTGAAGCCTGCAGGAATGCTCTGACTAGAGACATCAGACAAGTGGTAGAGAACCATAATACCTTGACCCTGGGGGGCTGGAGACCCCCAGCAACCTGCCTGGGGATGCCCGTGTGAGGTTAAGACCTCAGTACCCTGATGGGGTAGACCCCAAGGAGAAGGAAGATCTAGCTTTTCTAAAACCATTAACAATAACTAGAGAAAACGTACAATCCTCTTTTCTATTCTACTTGGTATCTGGAAATGTTAATTTTATTTGCTATTAAGTTCAGAATGGAAAAACAAAAACAAAAAACAACAACCTAGGAACTCTCCCTCTTCAGTCAGTCAACTGGCACTTATTTATTCATTCA